TTTTTTTCCGAGGGGGAACGAATGTCTGTTTCCTTTTTGCCACTCACAGATTGAAACGCCCACTTAGCATGTGAGCAAGAGGACATGTAGGCAGGTAAATTATAATGGGAATCCCACATTCCTTCCGCTAAGTCTGAAAAAAAAATATACATACTGCGTCTGTATTGGGCCGTCCAGCTTTCTTCGGTCTGATTCATACGCTGCCCAAACCTCAGGGTAAATTAAATAGACCTTGAGGATTTGCATCACCGAGAAAATTGCTTTTAAATGTTTCCAGCTTACAAGATGTTTTGCGGCTTTAGCGTCCACCCCGATTCAAAAGCTACTAATTTGCTTAATCTACAGGAGGGAGATATCTCAACTGTTGCTAACCTCGTTGCCTTGCTCTAGCCAAACAATAAATCGGTTTTGTTAAACCTGTGTAAAAGATTCCAAATGTGAAATAAACATTTTGTGAATTCTCTACCCACTTTCCTGATCCGGTTGTGTAAAATGGGTTAGAAGAGCCAGAAAATAAATTGTTTTCAACAGATGGGGGTGAACTTCTGCAGAAGGTGCACCCCAAAAGCCTTCCTTTGAAATCTTAGCATTTCTGGGTCAAACTCCCATGTCTTGGGTGCTAAGGCTAATGACATGCACCGTTTACCACTGATCGGGAATGTGTCTGTTTGAAAATAAAATGGTTGAATTAATACGTTACAAGCTTCTAGGGTGTTTTAGCAGGCGGGGCCCTCAAGAATTAGGAGTTGTGGTTTGATCATCTGAACTGGCAATTTATGTTCCAGCAGCTGGTGGAAATGGACTTTGGGGAAAACTTTATAAATGCCATTCAAACGATCTACCATAAACAAACGGCTAGAATAATCTTTTTTTAAAAAAAGTTTTTTATTTATAATACAGTTAAAACCAAGATGGACATAATGTGACATTCCAGAATAAATATTCCTAACAATTTGTTCCTCTTAATACATATAATTCTTAATCTCTATATAAACATATTCTTCTGTACAATACAGTTATATATACAGTTATATATATATTTCTATCTTAACACTAACTTAAAACCCGAGCAGTTCTCCTAGATTCACACCAGTAATAAAATTTGTCCCAGATTTCAAAGTAATCTAATTCTGTCTTATCCTTCATTTCCGTTGTGAGCCTATCCATTTCAGCACACGATAAAATTTTATATAAAATCTCTTCTTCTGTTGGAATTCCGTTATTCCTCCAGTTTTGAGCATACACCAATGGCTAGAATAATCTTAAGTGGAGACTAGACGGAAAATGTTGACATTAAGAAAGGTACATTATCCATTATCCCCATTGTTATTTATACTAACATTGGAAGTACTGACTAGAAAGATTAGACAAGATATAGAAAATTAAAGGATTGAAGATTAAAGATCAAAAATATAAATTACAAGCCTTTGCGGATGACTTGGTTTTTTTTTTATCTTGGAGGAGCCACTTGAAACAACTACGAAATTGTTGGAGAGAATAGAAAAGTTTGGAGAAGTGGCGGGTTTGAAAATAAAGAAAGAAAAGACTAAAGTATTAGCAAAGAACTTAACAGATAAATAGAAAAGTCAATTTACAGAAATTAGGAGTTGTGGGAAGGGAATAGGGCAAAGAAGGCAAGTTAAAATATCTGTTGGGAAGCCCCCAGCCTAGCAGGAAAGAGGGAGCTAGCCTGGAGTCAATTGCGTGACTGTAAAAGGCCTGAAGCCGATGCAATTTCCTTGGAATCTTATCTAAGGCTGGCGGATTGGGGAGATTCCTGTATTATAGGCTGAAAATAATAGAGTAGTTAGGTCAAACTCTGCACTTCTGGCCCCGATTGTTCAAACTGAAATTACAATGAGGAAATACGCGCCTTGTGGTCTATGCTGCTTGTTCTAAAATATCTCAGGCAGATATCCACTAATTCGTTGTACTATCCCACTGAGTTATGATCCATGTTTGGGGTTTTCCTTCCCCTCCCCCCCCACAAAACAGCAATTAGTATTCCCGGAATTTCAAGATAACCATAATGTGGACGATCCAGATTATAAATCAGATCATGGATTTGGCATCTCCTGCATTGGAGGCTGATACTAAACGGTGATGACTTCACCTGCTTCGTGTTGGTTAGCAGAATCAGGAAGTTTGCTGTGTGTGGGTTGTGTGACAGAGACAAACTCCCCAAATACAGTCACTGCAGGATGTGAGATTTAACAACTCTTGGGCTAGGGAGCAATCGCACCAGAGTACATGCGGTTGGCTCTGTCTGTAATTATGCCTAGAATATACCAGCTATAGAAAGGGCCCACCTTCGTATCTTCACTTACTAACGCACGAACTTCCTAGATCCTCTGTTTACGTCCACGCTAAAAAGAAAGTGTACAGACTTTTTTTGTTTGTTTTGATAGCACATCTGTCGAAGGGGAACATCAGGAAATATTGCCTGTCCTTCACTTGGCAAATATATTAGCTTCTTGTCCATTGGTGTATAAAACAGTTCTGCTTATCCTTTTTTATTATTATTTTGAGAACGTGTTGTTAGCATCCTTCATGAACAGTCACTGTTTCCGGGGTGGACAGATTTGAGGATCAGTTTCTTTTCATTTGTTTTAACTTCCATTCTTCTTTCAACAAGTAGATCCTTCAGAATAACAGAGTTGGAAGGGACCTTGGAGGTCATCTAGTCCAGCCCCCTGCTCAGCCAGGAAACCCTATATACCATTTCAGACAAATGGCTGTCCAGTCTCTTCTTAAAAACTTCCAGTGTTGGAACACTCACAGCTTCTGGAGGCAGGTTGTTCCACTGGTTAATTGTTCTCACTGTCAGGAAATTTCTCCTTAGTTCTAGGTTGCTTCTCCCCTTGATTGTCCTTGATTTGTTTTGGACCAGGTCCTAACATGCCCAGCTTGTGGCCAAAGAGTAGTTAGTAGGGAGCTATTAGCTGAGTCAGGAAGTGGTCCAAAATAAAAGTTATTTTTTAGGGGATGGAGCTTCCTTTCCATAGGACTCTCTCTGTTTGAAGGATTCATTCTTCAATTCAGCTCGCCTCCCCCAAGTTGTGGATGCTCCATCACTGGAGGTTTTTAAGAGGAGAGCTGTTTATCAAGAATGGTCTAGGCTAGGGTCTCCTGTTTCTGCCTTAGGCATGAAAGCGGTCTGGGTGACTTTGGGTCAATCACCAGGACACGGAGAATTCTAGTCCCACTTTAGGCAGGAAAGCCGACTGGGTGGCTTTGAACCTGTCAATCTCTCTCACAGGGTTGTTATTGTGGGGAAAATAGGACAAGGAATATTAGTTATGTTCACCACCGGGACTTGTTTATCAATATAATAAAAATGAGAAATAAATAACTGAGTAAATACATTGGCAAGCTGCCTGTTAAGCCAAGATATGCTGTCGTTCTGAAATATTGTTTGCAGTGTACATCCAACTCCATCAGATCCAGTAGATGTGAATATCATTAAGAATAGAATAGAATAGAAATACAGAATAGAAATACAGACTAGAATAGAATAGAATTATAGAATAGAGTAGAATAGAAATATAGAATAGAATAGAATATAGAATAGAATAGAATAGAATTACAAAATAGAATAGAATAGAAATATAGAATAGAATAGAACAGACATCTTTATTGAGAATAGAGTAGAATATAGAATAGAATAGAATTACAGAATAGAATAGAATAGAAATATAGAATAGAATAGAATAGAAATCTTTATTGAGAATAGAATAGAATAGAATATAGAATAGAATAGAATTACAGAATAGAATAGAAATGTAGAATAGAATAGAAATATAGAACAGAATAGAAATATAGAATAGAATAGAAAATATGAAATAATAGAATAGAATAGAAAGAATAGAACAGAACAGAATAGAAAAGAAAAGAATAGAATAGAAAATATGAAAGAATAGAATAGAGTAGAAATCTTTATTGAGAATAGAATAGAATATAGAATAGAATAGAATTATAGAATAGAATAGAAAAGAATAGAATAGAAATATAGAATAGAATAGAATAGAAATCTTTATTGAGAATAGAATAGAATAGAATAGAATAGAATAGAATATAGAATAGAATAGAATTACAGAATAGAATAGAAATATAGAACAGAATAGAAATACAGAATAGAATAGAAAGAATAGAACAGAACAGAATAGAAAAGAATAGAATAGAATAATGAAGAATAGAATAGAATAGAATAGAATAGAAATATAGAATAGAATAGAATAGAATATAGAATAGAATAGAATTACAGAATAGAATAGAAATATAGAACAGAATAGAAATACAGAATAGAATAGAAAGAATAGAACAGAACAGAATAGAAAAGAATAGAATAGAATAATGAAGAATAGAATAGAATAGAATAGAA